TTCGGAGACTTGTGATTTATACAGGCCTGCTAGTCCTTTTTTATAGCTGAATACCCATATTTCAAATGAAATTAGGATGCAACTTTTTTACCACCCATTGCACATGTACATAATATTCACTAGTATTGAGAAATAATGTCTTCTCTAATGTCTCCAAATGCAGCCGGAAGTGGAGTAGACTATTAAGAAGTACCTTAAGAAGCGACCAGACGCTTACAACGGTGCCAGCTGCAATGAACCAATGAACCAAAGATGGCCGACAGGCGGCTACACGTACATATATATATTTTTAATTTTGAGAGTTAAAGTTTGTTAGCACTATTCTCATTAATTAAGTTCAAGCATGTGTACTGAATTCTTTCTCAAATTTCAAATGTTTAAGTTTTTGGACTGATGGGAAAACTGAGATGGCCGATGATTTTGAAAGTTAAAGCTAGCTAAATAGTTATATGTTATTTCTTAGAAAGTATATATAAATGTACATGCATATTGGAGGAATCTTTCTCAATGTCACACGAAGGTTCCTCATGGTCCTTATTTATGCGTATAGGAATTTAAATTGATCCAAAAACCAAGATGACAGACAGTCTGCCATCTGGAGCAATCTTTTTCAAATTTCACATGTACATGTAGGTTCACAAAAATCAGTTTTTTTTCAGACTGACCTCAAAACCAAAATGGCCGACAGGTGGCCATGTTGAAGTTTGAGAGTAAAAATGGAATTTGGATAGATCGGATAACCAAGATGCCTGACAGGCTGCTTCCTTGAATTTTAAGAGTTAAAGTTTGTTTGCGCTACTGCCAAGAAAGTACTGGATGAATCCTTCTCAAATTTCACATGTAGGTTCCCATGGTCCGTAGTTGTGTATCTTGGGACTGATCGTAAAACTTAGATGGCTGACAGCTGACCATTTTGAAATATGAGCTGATGTATGTTAGCGATATTTCTCAGATATAAATAGAGGTTACCTGTTTATACATGTAGGCTCTCCTTCGTCCTAAATAAAGCATATTGAATTTTCGGACTGATCTGAAAACTAAAATGACCGACATGCGACCGTTTTAGATTTTAAGAGCTAATGTTTATTAGTGCTACATCTCAGAAAGCATTGAAGGGAATCTTCCTTTAATTTCACATGTAGGTTAGTTCCCCATAGTCTGTAGTTATGCATAAGGTGGCTTTGAAGACAGGCAGCCATCTTGAATTTTGTGAGTTAGATTTTATTAGCGCTATAAACATTTCTTCAAGTATTGGAGAGATCTTTCTCAAATTTCACACGTATCTAGGTTCACCATGCATGGCCGTCATTGTGCATGCTTCTTCTTGAGGCTGATCAGAAAAACGAAATTATCACCAGGCAGCCATCTTGGTTTTCGACAGTTCCATTTTGTTACCGATACTACTTCCCAAGGAACACTAGACCGATCTTTCTCAAATTTCAAATTATATTTTGTTCCCCTTGTTACACATTAAACACTATACTAGGTAAATACAGCCATTCCGGATTGATCGTATCCAAACTCCGAACGGTTAAACCTGACCCAATGTGTATACGTTGTGTAGTTTGGACCAATCTAGTTTTGAGGCTGATTTTACTATTTTCTTTGATCATTGACAGTCAGTCGTTCCGACTAATCGGTGGATTGTCGGTGAATTGAAAAAAAGTTATACGTAGTGCTTTTTATGACTACGTATTTACGACCGGTCTTTATTTATTATTTATTATCTATCTCATTTTTCTAATGGCTGGACTCAAGTTCATTCTGGCTGTGTTGCATAGGGATTGCATTGATTTAACTCTGTTATTTGCAGCTGTTATCAAATATCCTCCCGCATCCTTCGGCTCGCGACAGCTTAGACCACATGCAATAACTTACACCCGTCCATCACTATGTCCAGGCTACCAGACCCTATGTTTTTGTGAAGAACATCCAAGTTATCAAAATCATTAGTCTCGTTTTTTCCTGAATAGTTCAATATTCTAGAGAAGTAGCGTAGCGAGCCCTTGATCATACAGGGGATTCATTTAGGAGCGGGTCAAGGCTAGGGCCTTGGCAGAGGGCAAGTGGGTACAACAAGCAGTGTTTTTTTTTGTACCTGCATGTCGCGTATAGGCAGTTATATGCGCGCCTGTATTTGGTTGTACATCAGGACTAAGAGAAAGTTAAATGTGAATCCTGTATTTAATAATTGATTTATTTTAAACATTGAACTGATTTACGTTGGCAGTAAAAGTCAATATCAATCTTATGAAAATTATCATAGTTCCCGTTCCTTTATGAACCGGTACTCAAGCTGACGTTTTGTTTTTGTGTTGATTTGTTTTGAGTCCCATCAACAATTGTAGCCATTTAGGGCCAGAAAACTAATATACTGAAGACAAAAAACAAATAATTCTAGAAATGAATAATGCTTTTTAAAACGGGGCCATGGCCCGATTTTAATTGAATCAATAAATGTCAGCTTAAAACGGCGAACTCGATAGAACGAGCTATAGTTTAATAATATTGTGTCAACGTAAAACTGCTTATACTAAATTTGAAGCTCATGATCCCTTGCCAATTCGTGCTAGGGCTTTGGGGAGGGATCTTAGATTGCATCTCATTATTATGCTGATTCCAACGTGGGCCGACCTTACCCCAGTTTGCCTGTCCAAACCTGCTCCAAAGCGGCAACATTTCGCCGTCCAATCTTTCGCCGGTAAAAGTTAAATACTTCTCCTCCAAATACGGACAAATATTCTTTCATGAAAGGCATAGAATTTCTCTTCAAAATAAATGTATGACACACATATAAAATTCAACAATTGTCATACTTCCCAGAACGACTTTAATAAAAATTGGCCGAACTTGCCCCGGTCTCCCCTTTATAAATACATACTTCAAGATCCTCTACCGTCCATCATGGAATACCATCGTAAATGTGAAAACCCTAATTTAAAATGTAGTTGAAGTTTAAAATGTACACAAATTCGCTCATATCAAATGACAAGAACTCCTTTATTCACAGAAACGAAAGCAATTTGTTCACATAACAAATTGTTCCAAGCCCATACATTACTAACTAATCTGGTTTATGTCTATCTTCAGGCCAGTAGTGAGATGTTGTAACGAATAGTGGAGTTGTTTTTACAATTGTGTAATATAGATCGCATTTGGATTGTATGTCTTCCGGAAGGAAGGGGTCGTTAATGTGACATGCATGTTCTACTACACGAAATGCTAAAAAGAAAAGATATTTGTGCGCATATCAATTTGTGTACATAACGAATGTCGAGAGAAAAAGAGTTTAAGTGGATAAAGCCCAATGATTGTGGACCAAACAATGCATACTGCACTCTTTGTAAATAGCATGTTTCAGTTGGGTCTCATGCCAAAAACGATGTTACTAGACAGGACCGTTAGATAAACATATGATCGATAATTTATCAATTGTGTATTTATGGCGTTGGTCAACTATCCGTTATTACGATGCCACAAATAACATATCATGACTTTTATATGAATCACTTATATAAACCCGTTTGGAATATAGGATGTTCCATACAAACATGGTTTACGTTGATGAGACATGGGACGTGAAGTCAGCCGTCGCGTTACTCCAATCGACGTTTCGACCACAAAGTTTCTTGCAGACTGTGTTGAAGTCCTTTCGTTGCCAGGCGTATATCACTGGGTTCACTAGGCTATTGGTCATTCCAAGGAAAACAAGCCAGTTAGAAACATTGATGTCGTCCATGGTCAAGTCAACAGACCCTACTCCATACCGAAATTGAAATGCCGTAAAAGGCGTCCAGCAAATCGTAAACGCCGCCGTTACGATCCCCATGACCTTTGCACTTCGAACATTACGCTCCGTTGATTTCTTACGGACTTGGGGATTTGGACCGGTTTCATTTGAAGGGCGTATTCTGTTGTAGTATTTCCATGCTACCTGTAAAATTCGAATGTACATGATCAAAGAGGCGACACTGAAGCAGACGGTGGTCAACGCCGATGCTAAGTAAACGCCCTGTTCGAAGATGAGGTGATAGAGACAATACATGGAATCATCTGACCATGACTTTAGTCCTAGGAAGGACAGTGACGTTAGAACCAGGGCATACACCCATGGTAGTGTAACCAGGATGTTCGCAGTAACGTTGGTTACCACTTTACTATAACTGTGAGGATGACATATTGCAATGTATCTGTCAAACGTTGTAAATGACGCTGTTAGTTGTGACGTCATCGTCAGAAATGCAACGATTTGATACCGAGTAAAGCATGCCACCCTGACGGCGTTCAATTCCGGGAAAAGGAAATAAATAATTTGGGAACCGACCGAAACACCCGTGCAAAAATCGGCGGCGGCGAGCCCCACGACGAAACGGTTTTTAAAGGATCGAAGATGGAGGTAACGAGTGAAAATGAAGATGACGACGATGTTGCCAAAACAGGAAAGGCTGAACACTACTTGTTGTAACACAATGAAGAGGATAAGGAATGGCGGGAAACCGACGTCTCCTTCGTCTGTTGTCGTGAGGTTGTCGTCAGACATCTCGGGTATCGTCTTCCTTGAATTAATATATCGACTACTGTTAAATAAAATATTATCAGGTATATAGTGTAAAAGAAACTTTGACAAAAAACATAACGACGCTGATTGGTCGTCATACCAATTCACACATTTCCGTCGGATACTACTTGTTAAGGTAAACCGAGTACAATAGACTCAATTTTCAAGAAACATGTTAATTTCGATTTTTCCTTTACCTAAATTTCCCCATAGAGAAACCGTTACTTAATAGAGAAAAACAACCATACTTTTTGTCTCTGGTTACAGGCAGATCTATACATGTACATAGGCTTAACAGTATAGTGTAATTAAAAACATAGTATACATAAACTGTTTTATGTTTTAAACTTAACCAGAATGGTTGAATGAAAGGCTTCAGTCCCAGTGTGAACTTTACTAGAAGTAATCATATGTATATAGATTAAGACCACATACCCAAAGGAGCTTCTCGCAAAATCAAAGTAGGGTGTTACCAAACAAAGAACAAGTTAGCGAGCAATAGGGGTTGGTTCTCATTTGTGTCGCGGACTCTGTATGCTGTGTACAATGGATGACGTAGTTGGTAACCGTGAATTATAACGTGCGACGTGGCGACTCTAAAAAATAAAATAAAAAAACACAATACGTAAATTTTGCGGTTGTAATAATCATGTTAGAAAGTCGGGAAAAACAAAGTGAATAGCATATACATGCACAGATCTCGCTGATATCACAATTGATTGGACTTGAAAACATAGTAATATAATATCGGTCAGGTGATCTCTTTGAAATATTCAGAATATGCTTATTTGTCACCTTAGAACATTAAGAGCGGATGTTACCTTAAACAGAGGAATACCTAATATAATAGATGTTATAATTAAGTTGTCTTCCAACATTTACCATGTATTTTGCAAAGACAATTTTATCGCCTCTAGCTTTTACAGCAGTGTTTAAAAAACAAGGAGTACCAATCAATATTTGCTGTAATTGAGCATGTTTTGTACTGTGTGGGTGTTCAAGGAAAACACTGTCCGATATCAATGCGTTATCATAGTGTTGAATGTGTTGTATACAGCGTGTGCTGTACAAAAACCACTGAATTATTAGCTTGGAGCCGCCCATCACAGGACATTCTCCGGGCGGTGGAACCGCAGTGCTAATCGGGCACTACGGGTCAGTGGTAAGCTGCCATGTCTCTTCCTTCTTGACCCACAGCCAACTGGATGTTTTCTCTAAAAACTGTAAATTATTATTGAAACAGAGGGCATGTGCGTTTACCCAATTATTTGTGAGTTCTTGGTCCAACACAGTTCTGTTTTTGTCCACTTTTGATATAATTACATGTTTGCAACAAGGTTCCGTTCTTGATCCAGTTTTGATATAATTACAAGT